CTCCGCATGGAGATCTCCGCATGGAGATCTCCGCATGGAGACTGCATGGCTGTGGCATGGGAACCATGAAGCACCAGAGCTCCAGACTTACAGGAGTGCTGGCCCCTTGTCCAGTGCATGTGATGGGCCACCCCGGAGGAGGGCAGGAGGTACGGACAGGCATGGAGCCCAGTAAGGGCCAGGGCCAGAAAACCGAGAGCTGCTCTGATTAGCGCGCTACGTTGTTCGTGGCAGGTGTGTGTGGCAAGGGACCCTGGCAAAAACCACAGACACCACGAATGTGCTTGCGCAGGGAGGAGGTGTATGAGCCCAGGGCCCCTCTTCTAGCTCCCCTCAGGAGAATGGGGGACCAGTGGAGCAGGGTGATCCTCCACAACAGAGCCCCTCCAAGTCAGCCTGGGGGCCAGGATCCCTGGAGCCCCCTGAGCCATGGGGTGGGCCATCCCAGGGGAGGGAGGGAGGGGAAATGGAAGACTGTGCATGTCTCCTCCCTCCAAGTGCAGCAGGAGAACAGCCGCCGGGGGGCCACTCAGGCTGGCCTGGTCACACCCCATCCTCGGGGACTGCACGAGAGGGACCAATGCCCCCCAGCCTCCGGGCCATGCTGATCAATGAGCGCAGCTGCACCAGCTTTGGTGGCCCCACCTCCCGGGGGTCCTGATTCTCCAGCCACCGGAGAGCTGTCTCCAGACCCCGGACAGCCTCCCCAGCAGTGGGCACGGCAGCCTCCTCCTCCTCCTCCCCACCTCCCACGACAGAGGGTAGGCTGGCTGGGGGTAGAGGGGCAGCAGGGGCCAGCACAGGGGGCCGGCCAGGGCCTGCCTCCTCCCTGCAGCTGTCGGGCAGCCCCCCATCATCGTCCAGATGCAGCCACGTGGCCACCTCCTCGGGCGCCAGGCGCTTGTAGGCCAGGGCTGCCAGGTGCGTGAGGTCGCTGAGCACCCGGCTGTGCTCTGCAGCGTCCTCGGCCTGGCCGGCCGGCTGCCCCACACACTCCTCAGTGGGCCGGGGCTCGAAGGCCGCCCGCAAGCCGAGCAGCCAGCACCGCTCAATGCTGCCTGCCTGCACCAGGTCCCAGGAGAGGCCGGCCAGGTAGAGCATGTCCTTGAGCATGAAGCTGCGCATGAAGTCCAACGGGGAGCCCCCCGCACAAGACACAGCTAGCCTCAACAGCTCCCGCTTGTATAGCTGCTTGAAGGCGGCCACCACCCCCTGCTCCAGTGGGGCAGGGATGTGCGCCCGGCCGCTGCCCTTGGACAGGAAGAGCACCCGCACAGCACCATCCGGGGTCTGCAGCTCTTCTGGGGGGCTGAGGGGCTCGGGCCGCCGCCGCCGCAGGGTCTCCTCGCTCTCCTCCAGCGCGGGCACCCTGGCAGCGGGGCTTGGGCAGGGCGGGTGGGCCACCAGCAGCACGGCCTTCTGCTGCAGGCAGCTGCGGCGCAGATAGCGCCTCACGCCGGGGACGAACTCCTCGAAGAACCAGCCCCGCAGCAGAGGGCGACTGAGCCAGGCGTCCGGGCTGTAGCGGTACGACGCGGGGAACTTGTCCTGGTTGTGGTGGCGCAGGCTCGGCGGGTCCGGCAGCTGCCCGATGACCAGCGGCTTCAGCTTGTGGCTACCGGTCAGGTTGGCGGCCAGCAGCACGGTCACCCGGTCACCCCGCCAGCGCCGGCCGCAGCCCCCCGCGCCGAGGTCTCCCGCGCCCAGGGGCGCGGCCTGCTCCGGAAGCAGCTTCCAGTAGAGGCCAGTGACGTTTGCGTTGTAGATCTGCTCGTCGCCGTAGCCGCCCTCGGCGGGGGGCGGCGGGGCCGGGGCCCGGTCGGGCAGGGGGCCGGAGCTGGAGCCGGGGGCTTGCGCGGGCTCCTGCTTGACGGGCTGGCCGGGCGCGGGGCCCGTGGCCAGAGGCTCGGCCTCGCCGTAGATACGCTGGCTGGAGATGCCGTGGCGCTTCTGCCAGCGCCAGAACCAGCCGTGGCTGGCCTTGAAGGTGCACTCGGGCCCATAGATCTGGCGCGCGAAGGCCTCGGCCTGCGCCTGGATGAGCGGCCCTGACAGCGGCACGCCGTGCTGGCGCAGCGCCAGGAACCACGAGTAGACGGCGCGGTCGATCTCCTCCTCGTTGGCCAGCCGCATCTTCTTGCGCTGCGTGCCCACCTCGCCGCCCAGCTGCTCCAGGAACCAGCGCAGCTTGGGCTCGTCCTTGAGCCAGCCGCGCAGCGTGCCGCCCGGCACACCGAAGTCGCGGCACACGCTGGCCTGCCGCTCGCCGCCCTTGACGCGCTCGATGGCCTGCAGCTTGTCCTTGATGGAGTAGGCCTTGCGGAAGGCCATCTTCACGGCCACGCGGGGCCGCG